AATAACACTAATAATGAAAAAATAACAATAAGACTAACACTCACTAATCCCATCACAATAATGTTATATATAATAATCATAGTTGATAAGATCAGAATAGCCGTAGTAAATCATTGCAAGAACTATTATTGTTGGACAATGACTAATAATGATCGTAATAACGAGTTGATCATAGTTAAGAACAACATGGCAAGAATAATCATCAATCTAATCACGTTATCATAATAATATCAGGTTGCCACGGTAAACAAGCAATGGTAGTCATATAATCATACTCATAGTGGTGGTTTTATATACTATGATGATAGTTATCATAATTAGTATATTAGTATAACAATGTATATATAACAACAATGGTAGCAACAATAATTAAAACAATACATACGCTAATCCTAGTCATCATAGCCAAAAAGAGTTACCATTATAAGTTCAATGATTGGAGTGAATGTACTTGCAGCTTTTTGATCTTTACATTACACAAATATTATAATATCACTCGTATCATTCAAGCCGCACACGAACAATGTATCAGCAAGCCGTACAAGCGAGCACTACAAAAAACCATCCTGTCGGCTGCCAAGCTCGTCATGTTTGATGCTTAAATCAGATGATGGTCAATTTCCCCATATTTGTGCATTTGTTATAGTTAAATCATATTAAATCTCCCTACTTGGTGGCGAACTACCCACGAATCGTAAGATGTGGATTAACCCGCTCCTTATCCCATGTAAAGCACTGGGGTTATAACCCACTTACTATTCGTGGGATGAGCCACCAAGTATCAATCCCCATATTTGTGCATTTGTGAAGAAACCCATCTGTCATTCCATTATACAGGTTAATTTATAGGGATTCCCCTTGGGGATTCCCCTATTGGTGTAATCCCCAATATATAAAGGGTAGTATAATCCCCGAACTAATCATCCGTTATAACATTATTATATTCACAATAACACTGATAATCACAAAAACACTTGATAATAACATATAGTTAGTATAATCCCAACAGGGGTTTTGAACACTGCTCATTTAAATGTACAAAATCTCGTATCGCACCAGGGCACTGTGAGCATCCCTGGGATCCGAGGGCACTTCACACACCTTGGAACAAGCAAAATGGGACCGGGCGGAGGAAACGCAGAATGGGCTTGGCACAAAGAGTGACATAGGGTTATATCATGTTATATATATATATATGTATGATAGAAGATAATATGTGTATGATATAGATGATGTCTTATATATATAGATATATGTTTATATGTTTGATATAGGATAGTATTTCTGACATAGATGGATGGATGGAAAGATATGGCCATCATGGAAGCAGTTCGGCTAGAAACGCCACTGGAATTTCAGTGCTCCTTGCGGAATCCTAAAGGTCAAACCATCCACTGAAATGATCATTCTCAATCGCTCAAGAAAGTATCATTAATCTGCCTATCATGAGAATGATCATTTCTCAATCTGCTCAATTATCATCTCAATTATTCGTTTCCCAAACTCCAATGATAATCATTTCCCAAACTATACAAGATCATTCCCCAAGATCATCCCAAAACATCTGATTTTTCCCAAGATTGTCCCATTCCAAAATGATCCAAACTGATCTGCACATATGCTGGGTTTTCATGGATTTTCCATATCTCGTTGTAAATGTTTACCTGGAGGCTATTCCAAAGCATCCACTCCAAATTCATAACGTAGATGCTTAAGAAACTCTGCATGAGACTCTCCCGTAAATTGATAATACAATTGTTGTCGTAAACGTCAAAATATCATCTTATTACTCCAAATTATCTTCAAATTATTACTCCAATATTTCTGATGATGATAAATACTCCAACTTCATAAATTTCCTCCGATATTGGATGGATTATAATCAGTAATATACTCCAAATATACTTCATTTATTCATCCAGTATTACTATGTGAAATTCCAAATTCATCATCTTCCCGTTCCCAATTCATCCTTTTCCGCAACCGAAACAAGCGTCACGTTCTGAGCTCTCGACTCCTCCAAGATCCGTGCTTTGGATGGATCCAGTCGCACCTGTTGTGGTCGTCGTGGTTAAGCTGTTGTGTAAGGAATTGGAGAAAAAGGCGAGGAGAATGATGTGTGTATATATATATATATAGCTATTTATTTAGTTATTTATATATATATGTATAGACATGAGTGTGTATATATATATATGTGATTCATTGTATATTTCCATTCATATTACAGTAACAGTACATATCAATCGTTATATAATGTTATATAATGTTATATATCCCATTAGTAAAAGTATACTTGGGAATAATGATATACATGATATATAAGATTATATAGGTGTGTATACACTATATATATATATATTATGCATTAGCAATAGTCTACATTAATATGTGTCCCATGTTGGGCAGTGAGATTAGTAATGGTATAAATCCGCCCGCACCGAAGGTGCTGGGGCGTGATCTTCCGGATGGCACTCGTAAAAGGTTACAGGTTTACCTGGGGGGGGGGGGGCATTTTTCGGCCAAAACCTCCTGTTTTTGATAGGTCGTGACGCTCGCCTTCAAAAAACACTGTAAAAAACAGTACGGAAGACACCTGTTCGTGAACGCGCCCGTCCAAAATCGGCAAGCGAAAAGTGAAAAAAAACCCGTGTTTTTCAACTTTTTGACCTCAATTTTTTGGTTTGCAACATCTTTTTTTGCGGTTCCGCAGGTGGCCGGGCCCCCGGAGGCGGATTTTTGAGTTTTTGGACCCGTTTTCGGACTGATTTTCGTCGTTTTGTGATAGCAGAAACACTGGTTTTTACAGTGTTTTTCTGTTTTCTGCATGCTTGACGGCTAGCTTCAAAACTTCCAAAAACCTCGTAAATTACGCTGTTTTATGTTACGGTGTGAATGAAAACATCGTAAATACCAGTGTTTTTTGACGTTGGTTAAAAAAACACTGTAAATTACAGTGTTTTTGGCCACCTGACCCTCAAAAACCATGGTATTTGCAGTGGTTTCTGCTTCTCACCGCGCAAAAACACTGTAAATAACAGCAATTTCGCCGTTTTTTCATGTTTTTCGTTATTTTTTGAACTGCGTTGGTCCGCTATACATGGCTATCAAATTCTTCGCGTTTTTTTTTCCGACAATCAGTACTTTCGGATGTTTTTGGTCTCAATGGCCGACATCATTGGCAGTTACGAGCGGCTGCCCAACGATGCGGTGCGGGCGGTTGCCGTCGCGAAGCGACGTGAATATTATATATTATAACTATAACAATGATATCAGATGAAATTGCAATTTATCAATATTCAAATATCAAATTACAGGCATGAATAATGAATATGTTTACCGTTTACCAAATAATTATCATGATTCTGAGACTCCACTGGTAAATCAGTACTCATAGTATATACTATGTTTGATACTAATAAGACTGGAGTATATATATATATATTAGGAGTAATAACGGCAGCATAATGATGTCATCAATCTTGACCAAGATTGAAATTTGAGCCAATGTCAAAAGGAGTTTTGTATGCTTTTGTTGCATTCAAATGGGTCTGAACATAGGGTACCCCAAATCTCAATGGTTTATCATCACGGTCCTTTTTAAGTAGAATTTTTGAGGTCTACCCCATTTTCAGACCATCAAAAATGATATACCCCACTTTCATACCATCATATACCCCATGTTCATCCATTTTCAATATATGATGTCAACATCTAAATGTCAAAAGTGGATGAATTTTCAACAGCTCTGACTGCCCACCTGGTTCGCATCGATGCGTATCTGCTTTTGCAGCAGCCGCCGCGCTGTGACAAACTGGCGGCGGCGGCGGTGAGATGGACCTCTAGCAGGTTAGGAGCCCAAATCGTCAAAAAATGTCAAAAATGTCCTAAATCAATGGGAATTTCAGGATCCTAAAATGGAGGTACGTTAGTACCATATAAGGCCATATTTTGTGGTGATATTCACTTACATGGGCCTGAAAAATAGGCCAAAAATATATGGTAGGTTAAATTGATTCAAATTGACAATCGTCCGCAAAATGGGACTGCGATATGAATCTATTTGACATGTCAATGCTTGGTCGATGTATCTCCAAAAATAGGAAATGATTGTCCAATGGCAGCTTTGGCAGTGTTATAGTTGTGATAAATCTCCAAGCTCAATGATAATCCGGTTGAAAGTGGTAGTACTAACAGGCAATAAGCAACCGTCATTGGGGTGCTGGCACTCAAAACCAAACCTGGGGGTGCCTTACAGAGGTTCGAAACCTTCAACCATGCATCAATGGAATCAATGCTGTGGCTGTGGCTCAAATGGAAAGGATAATGCATAAAGGAACATCAGCGCACACTCTTTTGAGTACCATATAGTAATAACACTCTTCCGTAGTCAATGTGGGTACGGCTCCACATTATACAACCTCCAAATGTGGATGATGAAATCATTGAACACCAAGTTTGTGGGTCGCATTGGAACCTGACTTTTGAACCCATGGGGTCCATGATTACAAACATAGGCCCACGAAGATCCAACACTGGCTAATAGATGAGTGTAACGTGGCTAATACATTAGGGATTCCAAACAATGGGTATATATATAATGGTATATTGTATTAACACCCATCGATAGGGGGATGACCATCCCCCCACTGGCAAACACTCTAACTTTTGATAGCTGTATCATCCACAAGTGGATAGAATGCACAGAGATTCCTGCCAAAAAAGAGCGAATATGGAAGGTTCAAAAAAAAAATATCAAAAAATCTCTTTGAGACTTCCATGTTCTATGGACTTCAGGGGCTAGTAAAGTATATGGCCCATTTAATAGCATGGTGAATTTTTCCATGGCTATGTTAGTCATAACCAGAAACTTAACTATCTTAACTATAGTTATTGGAGTTATAAACTAGATATATCACCTATAAACCATAGTTATCCATCTAAAATCCATCCAACTTCTGTCCCCCAAATGATTTTGGCCATCGGTGAGTTCAACCGGTTCAACCTGCCTGGCTTTCGTCTGGCCGAGCTTTAGCCACAGGCAAACGGTGATGCCATTGCTTGGAACCGTCAGGGGCGACCTCGGCGCATAAAGCGGTGTTTCAAAAAGGGAGCGATTCGGGGGACCATTGAAGTCTCAGATTATCACCATTAATATCCATTCAGTCCATTCATCATGTTTTAATTTGGGGAGTACAAAAACCTTACTAACCTAATTATATAATGAACCATGGTCTATAAATCCAGGGTTGACATGAAAGTACTCATTTAAGTAGATCACCTGAGTTGCTACCAACATTTGCGTAAATTATAACACATCACACATCCTGAAATAAGTATGACTGTGGTTGGGAAACTCTATATATGAGCAGCTCCAACTGGCTCCCTATTTGTTGTCGGATTTGTCGGGAATACGGCCATGGAGCGAAACACAGTCACCACTGGATACCCTCTGGTAATTTAAAATATAGCTATTGAAAACATCCATTTATAGTTGATTTAGCCATTAAAAATGGTGATGTTCACGGATTTCCATAGTTATGTAGGTTATGTTAGTTTACCAAAGTTGAAAGTTCCAGAAATCTTCATCTATGTGAACAGTCGACGACCGTTACGCGGGCTGGGCGACGTATGCAACCTCGACCAAGATCTTGTCGGATGGGGCCACCTTAGCCAGTTGCTCCCAATGATTTCGACTGACATCAGATGCGCGTGGAAATACCTAGAAGTTACCCTCTCGTTATTTAACATAGCCATGGAAAATGGCCCATTTATAGATGGTTTACCTATTAAAAATGGTGATTTTCAGGGTCTATGTTAATTTACCAGGGGGTACCACATTTTTACAACCGTGCTAAGGATGAAGAGACGCCTCCAGAACATTCTAGAACACAGAGAACTATCTTTGAATTTGTATGAAATTGTTCGTTTTCATCCACAACCCTGAAGGGACTCAATTCACCAATGACAACCTATGACAACACTTTCCTCATCCTCATCCTCAGTCTCAGTTTCATCATTTTTCATCCTTAAAACATCTAAAAACCCACATCAGCAGCATATAGTCCCATCCTTCCAATATCAAACGTCCCCTAGAAACCATGGTTTAGTAGGAGATTTACACTTATAGATTCTAGCACCATTCAAATCATTCTGGGGGCGAACAAAAAAATGTTGAATATTAGGGGTACGTGATTAAAAGATATTAAAAGCCTACACCACTCCTCAAACGCTGCATGTCACAACCATCAGATTCCCATGTGGCTTGGTGCGGCACCATGACGAGTAAGACCTGGTCTACGACTCTGACAACCTCGAGCAGCACACGGGCGCGAAGGGCAAGCAGCACAGGTTTTTTTTTAGTGCCAAGGACGGGTGGAACCACTGAAGAACAGGCTTCAATGATCTGATATATACTTCATTGTATCTATCATCATTCTTCCTTATTACTATACATATATTACATATTATAAGTATACATATATTACATATTATAAGTAATCTATGATCATTGTGATATTATTCTATTAGATTCTATTCGTGAGTGCTTCTATCATCATTATTCATCATTACTATCATTAACCTTTTCAAACATGAATGTGAAAAAACATGTGTATCTGGTTAATAATGAATATCTTTACTACTAATGTTAGTAATTGTCAGATAGCATGAAAATAAATAATTGCCAGATTACTATTATGAACCTTTTATATATTACTATTGGTGTAACATGTCTAATGTCAGCCCCGGATTAATAAACCATGGTTTATTAATGAGGGGGGACTCCTCCAATAGTCATAATATGATACTTTCCTCCACGACTCATTTGATCAATACTTAATTGGTATCCCCCCAATTAAACAGCTGTTTGGTGTTTAATCTAGGGTTGACATTATTACTTTTATTACTATTGGTGTAACATGTCTATCTTCAATCTGGAACTAACATAACTATGGAAAATCACCAATTTTGATGGGAAAACTCACTATTTCTATGGCAAATCTCTTTCTGCAGTGAAAACGCTGATACGATCACCAAGATTTGACAAAATCGATCTGCACTTAGACTGCTGCCTTGCCGACGGCATCAGTAAGAAGGGAAGACCTGAGACCACGGCGGTTTTTCATGGTACCCTCTGGTAAGCATACAAAAAACTATGGAAAATCACCATCTTTAAGAGGTAAATCAACTATTCTATGGGCCATTTTCAATAGCAAGCTGTTAAATTACCAGAGGGTATTGAAAACAGATTTGAAAGGGTGAAAACAAGATCTGGTTGGTGGTGCAATAACCATCTTGAAAAATATGAGTTCGTCAATGGGAAGGATGACATCCCATATATGGAAAATAAAATTCATGTTTGAAACCACCAACCAGAGATGAAAAATTATCTGAAACCATGAGAAAGGGTAAACATGATGAGAAATGATGAGACATCATGCCAACAGCAGTGGTGACATGGTGAATTTGAACATCACCCATCAAACAAAGACCTGGAGTCGGAATGCCGATGACAGGACCCCCCAAGGACCCGGCTCGCCATGCATCAATTCTGAGCTAAACTCTTTGAGAGACCTCAGGACACCAGGTTTGGGAAGGTCATGGTATGCTGGAGCGTAAGGCATGTGGCAACACATACAAGTACAAATGGAATAGCATGGAATAGCATGACTTTACTTGGTGGGCCGAAGATGCGTGATTTGTTCCTTTGTACAGAACAAGGCACAAGCACTTGCCATGCATCAGTCAGCAAAATAAGGTTCAATATGTATGTGTACTACTGCTAAAATAACCATTCAAAGTACTATCAGGAAGCACCAGATACAGTGCACAAGCTTGAACAAGGGAATGGGCGGTCCAAATAAAGACCAACAAACAATACAGATGTTGGCCATTTTCAATTTCCGACATCATTCCCAATCTTAGATACCATGTATGTTTTGGTTCCGAATGAATCAGATCAGGTTCGTACAGGATGGTGCCCCCCAGTTTTGTTAGTGGGTTTATAAACCCCATGAAAACTATAGTTATATCTAAATATCTGCCATAAACCATAGTTATGGGACTTATAAACCAACTTAGCTAACTATGGGGCACCGCCTTGTATATATTCCAATAGTTGTTGCAAAGGCTTAATCAGCGCAGCCAATTAAAAATCCCATGGTGTTTACCCTCCAGTAAACTGGTTGGTGGTATACCTACCCCTCTGAAAAATATGCGAAAGTCAGTTGGGATGATTGTTCCATTCCCAACTGAATGGAAAGTCACAATCCATTCCATGTTCCAGTCACCACCAACCAGATTATATACTATTACCCCATAACTATGGAAAATCACCATGTTTAATGGGAAAATCACCATTTTTAATGGGTTTTCCATGTTCCAGTCACCACCCCCCAGTAAACTAACCATGTGGAAAAGCCCATCGCTTTACGACAGATCATTTTCCGTTGGAGCTCCCCGACTTCGCAGCACCAACACCAAAGCCTTGGGACCCAGACTCGGCGTGGTTCAAATGCTGTGGACGATGAAAAAAAAGCAACCCCCAAACAAAGTCTGGGGAATTTAAGTGGAAATTTAAGTGGAAATTCATGGAAAGGCTATATGGAAATAATATTAATGATCAACGTTGCTCCGTAACAGTTGGAAACTTAGGGAAACGATATTATGAAAATTATGGGGGATCGTGAAACTATACCATCGTCCTGCGCCTGCCCGTCCACAGGACAAACATCAGCTTTTGGAACTTATCAAGGTGACAGTAACTGCAGAACTCAGTATAGCAGCCCCAAATAGAACAGTGGGAAACCTGGAAATGTGAGCGAAATGTTACTCAAAATCGTCAAAACCTCCTGGGAACACTTGTCCATCCTTTTGGGAATTAGAAAATGCATGTTGCTCCACTAAAACTTCAAAATACCAGTGTATTGCTCCACTCAAATGAACCAACAATGGCATTTATGGCACACATGACAGGTGTTTCACCATATTTCACCGTATATTTCATCCCTCCAATTTTTCACCATATTTTAGGGAACCATATTTCACCATATTTTAGCATTTTTAAGTAATTAAAAGGGAACATGATTAATTAATCATTGGGATATCATTGGGTATATTCGGTACTTTATTTTCAGACAAAGCCAGATCTATCCATATAGCGTTCATGTCGAAAGCCCTAACACTTGCTGGCGCCGGCTACGCGCTGCCCCATCAACAAGGGCCAGGAATTTGCGCTTGCCATCGGTTGTCGCCAGCAATGATGATGCGGATCCATCACTCTTGGATTTCGGCCAGAATTCGCTCAAGTATCTGGATTCAACTTCATCCTCCACTGTTCTTGGTCCCCAAATCTTTTCGCACATGGCATAGCCAACTGGATCGTAAGCTTTCAGTTCTTCATGGATGTAGGGAAAATAGTCGTTCCGAAACCTCTTAGTGCTGAAGTAGGCCTCAGAGCATTCAGCGAAATATTCCTTGTGATTCGTCGCAGCATAATGAGCTTCACAAGCATCACGGCCAACCCGCTGGCATGAACGGGTGTACAGTGGAAGACTCGAAACGTAAGCTTCAAAAATCAGTTGATCAGTTGGGCTAAAAATTGCTTCCTTCCACTTGCCTTTCGCATCTTTCGCCGTTGGATCCACATCACAAAGATAAGCATTGCATCCAAATCCCCTTGTCTCAAGATGCCATCTGTCAAATGGAGCCTCAGCATCTGACACATGAGAAAACATGTTGGTAAATCGTAGCATTGTCTCGTGTCCAGTGAATCGTTGGTTCACCCAAATTCTTGAGCTTCCAGAGTCCTGACTACATCGTGCATGTCTGCGATACCAATCCAGCGACGTCTTCGCAACGTAGTCTCCGTTCAGGAAGGCTTGGCGAAAACCATCCACAAGCAGTACAGTCTTGACATCGGAAGGCGATGCTTCGGCCGTGCCATTGGTTGAACGCCACTGGCCATTGATCCACTCGAACCAGCCAGCCACCTTCATCCCAAAGTCAATTCCAAGGCGATATGCCAAAACTTGGCCATCGATCTCCAAATGCCATCGATCTGGGCATTTTGAATCCATTGTGGACCAGCGATCTGTGCATCTGCAAATGACTCGCTGATTGAACTTCGTTCTGTCCCGTTGAACCAAAGTGAGGTCAGAATAGTCCAGCGTCCTACCGGTCTTTGGACTGGACTTGTCCAAGACAAAGTTGCCATTGAGACAGTGGTTTTGGAAATTGGACATTTGATACAAAAGCGTGTCATCTGCAGCACTAAAGTTGTTGAAATGATCTGAGGGAGCACGAATTTCCCCTGGACTGGCTCTCCAAGGACCCTCGAGCTCCTGGCTCTGCTGTTCCTCTCTGATGATGTCATGGTGAAGCCAATGTGAGAACTCATGTAGAAGTTGGGCTGGCTGCACTTGAGTTTGCTGCAGAAAGTCCTTGATGTCAAAGATCTCCACGGAATGGAATTTGCAAGCCATGTATTCAGCAGGGAGATCAATACAGTGGCAACAGCAGCCCTTCTTGCCAGCGCCATTGTTCAGGTTTACCCAAATCTGGATTGGAGAAGAAAGAATTCGCTGTATCACTGTCTGTGGCAGAATTCGAACTATCTCTTCTAGGTCCTTGCGTATCACTGTCAGTGCCTCATGATACAATTCACCCTGTACTCGTTCATCTGTGTAAACTACAAAGCCCAGCACATCCTGCTTCAGGTAGCGGAGATGCAACCCATGCTGCTGCCCGGAAACCACTATGTCCATCCAGGCACATCAGGCACGAAATTGACCCAAGGTCCCAAAATCAGATGGGAAACAGTGTAAGACACACTTAAAACCAAGGAAAAACCATCGTTTTTACTGTATGTGCTGCTTATTATGCTCCTTAAAACACAAGTGTGATTGATGATATTCGACTGATCTGATAAGATTGCAGCGTACTTTGATTTAACTGCCTGCTTTCACAACTTATCTCTTGAGCAGTGGGAATGGGTCGCCATCATGGCAATGACATATCAGCTCTGAAGTGCAGTATGAGGGAACTGTGCACCTCATTTGCTTCACATGTGGATTGTCTTCAGGATGTCAACAAAATATCTGACATGAAACGCAGCAACCCCCAAGAAGATAGAAAAGTCTTTCAACCCTATATACCTGAGTGTGATTTTAGTGTCCTATCTTCCTGGCTGGAGGTTGCAATTGTCAAAATCACGGAAGCTTCACTGTGACATCCGATCCACCAAAGTGCTGCAATTTAGGTACACATCACAGCTATTGAATGTCGGCAAACTATTATCCTGGGGTCATCGAATATATAACATATAAATACATATAGAGTAACAAATCCAATATTTATAGATAATTTACTTCATAAACCATAGGTTTTCCACATCCTTTTGTATTTTTAGGGTACCCCCAGTCATTCTTCCGTTGGGAATGGTGGCCAGGAGCTTGGGAATCGTTAGGGCGCGCGCGAGCTTGGTAGATCAAGCATGATCAGTCGCCGTCCGTCTGGGGTTGGTCCTTTTGACCCCATCCCCATCCATTTTCCAGTTTCTCTTTCATTTCAATGGCTGAAAAAATCATGTTTGGTGCTTCAGCCCAGTTCGAAGTAATGTGGGTAAAACAATGCCATAAAGCATGCCCCAGTTAGGTGGCATGTTTGCCATTCCCAGTCATGGGTGGTTTATGGATGTTTATGGCATTGTTTTACCCACACTAGGGTAAGTATGGGCAATGTCCAGTTCTGACTGGACATAACTAAGCCACGACGTGCCACGATTCCTGGATAGTGAACTAAGCTCATCCAAGAAACCACTGAGATCCACATGACAGCTCTGCAGGTATTCCACCAGATCCTGGGTAGAGCTTAAACCAACATCAATGGTCCATGGTGGCATTGAATGAATGGGATATGATATACCCTCTGGTGATTCAAACATAGGGAAATCCCAGCTATGCCTAGCCATGGAGGTTTCTATCATGGGAAAACCGTTGAACCTGATTTGGGGGATTTTCGAGCACGCCATGTTTGATTACTGGAGGCCAATCAACCGAATGACCAAAATGTTGGTGCCATTTTTGAGACACCCCCGACATGGGAAGCCTCTTGGCATGCCAGGAATAGCCCAGGAAAATATGGCCAGCTGGGGGATCCATAATATGTCCCATTGGGATAAAAACACGAGGTTGTCATTACCCCATATCCCCCAGTACAACTCCGTGTTTGTTGGCTATATCCCTATCATGTCCCCATTGGGGTTGAAATATGGTGCCATGAAATTTCATAGCGAATGCTCCTTTGCCCCTTAACATTGCCATGTTTGGGCATAGCATGGTATAGCCATTTTTCAGACACACCCAATCACCCAAATCATGTCAGGTTTGTTAAATACCCCATTCAATCATCATTCATTCACCAGTAAATTACATAAAGTTGCTTATATTCGATTATATTATTTATATTCCACATCAAATCACCATTCATACACCATAAAATCACATAAAGTTGGTTATATTCCCCATGAAAACACCATTCACCATAAAATCACCATCAACTAAAATGTGGGGCCCCCAAGATAGCTAAGTTGGTTTATAACTCCAGTAACTATGGTTTATGGTACTTAAATACCATCAGCTACCTGGCAGGGACCCTGGATCTTACACTGTAGACCCTAAAAACGGGGTCTGAAGAAGAGTTACATAGCTAAATCACGTAAAACAATCTCAATAGTCTAGACCCTTCGACCTTACAGATGCTGAAGGTCTGAAGACGTTTACCCATGCGTCAAAAATACAAAAAAATGTTCCAAACAACATGTTTTCTCTCGCTCATTTTTTTCTTCGCTGCTGTCACAAGTTTTTCACATTTGGAAAAAAAACTTATGAAATCTTATGAATAACAATTTGGAAAAAAATCTTATCAAATCTTATAAATAACAATTTGGAAAAAATCTTATGAAATCTTATGAATAACAATTTGGAAAACAATATTATCAAATCTTATGAAAAACAATTTGGAAAAAATCTTATGAAATCTTATGAATAACAATTTGGAAAAAAATATTATCAAATCTTATGAAAAACAACTTGGAAAAAATCTTATGAAATCTTACGAATAATAATTTGGAAAAAAAAAACTTATGAAATCTTATGAATAACAATTTGGAAAAACTCTTATCAAATCTTATAAATAACAATTTGGAAAAAATCTTATGAAATCTTATGAATAACAATTTGGAAAACAATATTATCAAATCTTATGAAAAACAATTTGGAAAAAAATCTTATGAAATCTTATGAATAACACTTTGGAAAAAAACTTTATCAAATCTTATGAATAACAATTTGGAAAAATCTTATGAAATCTTATGAATCTAGCGTGGCAAGGTCTAGAAACACAATGGCCAGCAAAACCAATCTGTGTTGATCAAGGCCAGAAACGCTGTCCAGACCTTTGGACAAACTTTGGAATCTAGCTTGGCAAAGGTCTAGGGCTACAATGGTCAGCAAAACCAACCTGTCTTGATCAGTGCCAGAAATGCTGTAAGAACTGGGGAATCTAGCTTGGCAAAGGTCTAGGGCTACAATGGTCAGCAAAACCAACCTATCTTGATCAGTGCCAGAAACGCTGTCCAGACCTCTGTAAGAACTGGGGAATCTAGCGTGGCAAAGGTCTAGAGCTACAATGGTCAGCAAAACCAACCTGTCCTGATGATTGCCAGAAAAGCTGTCCAGACCTTTGAAAAAACAAGATCTGCCTTACATCTTCAAAGTTGAAAATTATGGGACATCCATATATATCATGTCCAACATAGACACGCTCAAGGGTCTATAGTACCTTAAATGCAGAGGGTCTACAGTGCTCCTGGAAGTACTCTAGACCCTGGGCCCCTGAAGCCTGGAAGCCTGGGTACTCTAGACCTTATGTAGTTGAGGGGATGTACTTAATGGGGTTTATAAACCAACTTACAATTGGGGGGCCCCACATTGTATGATTAAGTTCCAATTTTGGTTCAATCCTTCTCACCCCTTGGGCCCAACTCCAACCCACCAGCGCCAACCGCCTTCTCGCTCATTCCCACTGGTGGCATCACCAAACCAGACACCTGCCATCTTCAAAGGGGGGCAATGGTAAGAAACTATGGACCTTTTCCGGGTAAACAAAATGAAAATATATGGGATTTGCTATTATAATGTTGGTAAAACATTGCCATAAACCAGCCCCAGTCATCACCCATTTATAGGTAGTATTGTTACCATTCCCAGTCATGGGTGGTTTATGACATTGTTTTGCCCACATTGGATTTCGATTGTTTTCGGCAAAGACTTTCCGAAAGCACCCGATTCCGATTGAAAGATGGCCCAGGCGCCTCTTCGCTTCCTTCCGCCTTGAGCTTGACCTGACAGGGGAAGATACCATGCATCTGATGGCTAAGTCACACTTGAAAAATGTCAGCTGTCGGGAACCATCATCCTTTCTTTGGGAAAACACAAACATATTTGAAACTACCAACATCTACCAACCAGGTAGGGACTTTTTTCACTTCAAAATCCCTAAAATTTGGCAACAGGTTCTGCACACTAAGGACATGTTGCCTTGAAAGAAGCAACAGCTCGAACTGGGGATGATCCCCCAGAGCATCCAAAGCATTTTTTCAGGAGAAACCCAACTGTTTCAAATGTATCTCCATGTATCTCCATGTCAGCCCATTTCTTGCGCGCGCTGAGGACCTTGTTCTCGTTGGCCTGTTGCTCTGACATCCAGGAGAAGAACTTTGTGTTGCCCTTGCAGTCCTGGAAGCCGCTGGAAGCGCTTCCGATCTCGGCGAAGTTGAAGCAACAAACATGGAATGTGGAGCACCAGGTTGGTTGGGCAGTGTCAAAGACATGTGGCAAAATCCACCTTTATGGCTTTGAGGGATTCATCAACTAACTGGTGGTGTTCGCTGTACGTAGGGTACAATATGAGGCCACGTAATTGAACAGGAACACCCAAGATTTTGTTGAAACATGTTGAAACATGTTGAAACATGTTGAAACATGTTGAAACATGTTGAAACATGTTGAAACTATATTGTCCTGCTGAGGCCCGCTGTCTCCCTCGTCCCCGCCATTTTCCACTGCCTTTGGCAGTTCCACTCAATCCACCCGCAACACCAAGAGTGTCAGAGTCAGCCAAAGACCAGACTACACAAAAATGGACCTGTCAACCTCCTGAAACTAGCATACAAAATCATACAAATACTTCAACTCTTAGTTGTTTTCGTTGTCTTTTAAGTATTCCTACATTGTTTGTAGATCATGAAGTGGCAGTTCCTCAATAGGTTGCCGGTCCAATTGTAAGCTAGTCAACTTTGCCCTCCACACGGGAGGGATCAGGTCAACGCTGCTTTGCAGTGCTTGCTCCTGGTAAAATGGCTCTGTACAGCGGGAATCAAAAAAGACAGAGTCTTGCACGTCCCAGCTCGTGAGCTTTCAGACGTGTAGTTTATTAGACTATCTGACTATTTTGGATCGATCATATACAAATTTGCATAGTTGCTTTGGTGTTCGCTGGTGTCGAACCTTACATCTTCGGAAGACATGCTAAACGATATTTTTTACGTGCGAAATGTTGCAAAATAGAACTGATGCGTGATTCTCTTGATTGTCAACATGGCGGAGAATAATTTCGTGAAACAGTGATAATATTTAATATGATACAATCCTATGATTAAGTGTCGGCCATGTTCAATACTTTTCAAGTATTGGATACTATGATCATAATCATTATTAAGTA